CACACAATACCACCATACCAACTGATATCTAATTAATTAATTGATGTCACTCTAACATCTAAAATTCAAAGGCTGTGAGTGATCAGTTGTTTGTTCAGACAGGAGAATATTCGAGTTGCATTGGTAGGATTTGTTTCATCCCAGTTAATAAGTTACTAAGGTGGAGGTCCACTGGCACATTCAAAGTAGGTCCACACTGACAAAAAAAAGAAAAAAGATTTTGCAGAACTGACAGACTGCAACTTGTAAAGATATGCACATAGATCTATTTAGCAAAACAACAAATAAAACATCAACGAACCAAGACTGTCTAAAATTACTTCAAATAGGCTGTTGTAATGTCATTTACAGATACAATATAATGTCAATATTATTCACTCACTTATCCAAATAATTGAATTCAGGTGTATAAAATCAAACACCTACAGGATGCTACCTGTGCAGCAAGTCCAGTTGTGAAATTTCCTTGCTATTAAATATTTCACAGTCAGCTGTTTGTGGTTTTATATCCAAGTGGAAGCAACTGAAAGACAGCAACTCACCTACAAAGTGGTAGGCCACATAAAATCACAGAGCAGGCTCAGCTAACGGTGAGGCACACAGTGTGCAGAGGCTGCCAATCGCTTCAGACCTCCAAACCTAACATGGCCTGTAGACTAGCTCAAGAACAGTGCATGCTATGAACAACTGTCTGTGAACTCAGCATGCACATAACAGTCAAACATGTGTTAACTTACATAATTCATCTACCTCCTTCCACCGAAACTGGTGTCTCCTGACCACTGAAAAGACGGAGTCATAGCCGTCCTCTGTGATCTTTTTTAAGGCCTCCTTCACATCGAACGGGTGGAGGCACGGGGATGTAGCCTGGATGTTGCAAACTATATCCACCTCTGTGAAAACAAAAGCCAAAGAATTTTCAACTGTGTGGCAGAAGAATGATGCTCGTGAAACAACAGCGTAAAAACGGATTCTTTGACACTTCAGCAGTTTTGCGTGATGGGAGGGGCAGCTGTGGGTTGCAGGTGTACCTACCATTATGGTATTCGAGGAACTCTTGGATAGTTTCTAATGATGAAGTAGAGTCTCTGGAGACTTCAGGACTCCTCTGGTGCACCTGAGCACCCCATGCCTCAGCAACTTTCTTAATCTCGGCATGGTCCGTTGATACCCACACACTGTGAAAGAAAAGACGCATTGTTGTTGTTTTTATTGCATTTCAAATAGGCATGTTGCAACAACAAGAAAGTTGTAGAGAGCCCTCTGGTGAAAAAACTACACAATATAAACACTCATAGCATGGTTGAAGGGTGCTTCTCTTCTTCACGTTTCATTTTTATTTATCGGACACTATAAAGGCCCATACTGACAGATGGACAAATTGATAACAGTGGGCAAACATATCCACCAACAAATAAGTCGGCTGAGTAACCCCATCACTCAGACCGCTCACACATGGACTCTATACACACACATAGTCCTTTGCGCTACTTCTAAGCACTTTGTTCTCCAATTTCTCCCTTTCTCTTCTTTTGTATATCCCTCTTGATTGTGTATATGACGAATCTGTGGATGCAACACGGAGAGTGGAATATGTAAATAAATCTAACCAGTAATAATAACCCGTAAAAATCATTTAGCCTGGAACACCGACTCAGAGTAGATTGATGAGTCATTCGTTAATACTTAAAGAGCCACCTATAAGAAACAGGGAAATGCGCAGTAGGGTACAATGATCATCCCATGTGGATCTAATTTGAACTGGTGGTTCCACAGGGACATGGAGGAGTCTCGAGTCCAGCAGACACAGAGATATGAGCTCCTTGCAGCTCTAATTTAGTTTGAAATCACCGTCACACATTTGCAACGTACCTATCAAACACTTCGGAGTCCACAGCAGCCCTCAGCACCCATCCCATGAGGGGGACACCGGCTAAGGGCTTGATGTTTTTAAGCGGAATGCCTTTGCTTCCCCCCCGTGCCAAAATGAGAGCAGCTACATGTCTCTTCTGGTTCTTGTTGGAAGAAGCAGCTACTTGTCTCTTCTTCTGTTTCATGTCGGAAGAAGCAGCTCCGTCCGCATCGTTGTCATCGTGTCTTCGCTTAGCGGACATTAAAGCGGTTCTTGTGGTTAAAAACAGACTTTTGGGGCAAAAGGGAGGAAATGAAGCTGCTGGAAACAAATTCTTCTTCTTCTTTATAGGGTTTACTGGCGGTTAGCAAACAGCAAAATGGTGCATTACCGCCACCAACTGGCGTGGAGTGTGGACCGAAATGACAAAGAAATAAAAAAAAAAAAAATCCTCCCAAACAAACGAGTCTGCCTTAAAAACGAAAATATGGCCTGCTAGCTTTCACTCACGGAGTTCTTGCGAAATAAATCAACCAA